CGGCAAGCTTGCTCCTCGCTGGGTCTCTTTGCTGAGCGACGCCCCGCTCTCCCTGCTCCTACATCGCGCGGTTGGCTGAGCATTGGGGGCGGTGGCCCACTCAGACGATGGTCGTTCACATCATGCTACTGGCGAAACCGAACGGCGGGTGGCGCACCATCGCGCACTTGACGGTGGCCTACCGCATCTGGACTCAGCGTCGGGGTCAACAGCTACGGGACTGGCTCCTGGCCAATGATCTGCCCTACTTCGCCCTGGCAGTGGGCAGTGCTCCCCTTCGCTCCGAGACGGACCTAGCGAGCGACCTCGGCGTCGCAACTGCCATCGGGTATATTGAGAAGTGTTTCGTCCGCATCCAGTGGGCCTCTTCTGGTGGAGGTTGCCAGGCGCCACGACTCCCCTCGGCAGCTGCTGGGGCGTGCCCTTGCCGCGGCCTTGGTCCAGCTCGCCATGATTACGGCGCTCGACGAATACTTGCTGCACGCCAGCGTCATGGCCAGGACAGTTGCTGGAACCTCGCACGCCCCGGGCGTTTTCGCCGACGATCTCGCGGTGCAGGTTCTGGCCCCTCTTCAGTTTATTGTTGGACAGGCAGTGGGCATTCTCGCCCTACCCTGTGACTCACTGCAGGATTCGGGCCTCTCGGTTGCCAAGTGCAAGGCCATGCTCACGGGGCCTCGCGACCACGCGGCCACCCGTGTCGCTTGGGGGCCCCGAAGATTTGGATTCCGTTCTAGGTCTTGGCTTGAGGTTATTGGGCTGGAGGCCGGAGCGGACAAGCCCGTGCGGTCGCGTGTCCTTCGCCGTTGCGTGGGAGCTGTCTCCAAGCGAGTGCGTCACTTTCAGAGGCTCTTGGCTTTGGGGTCCAAGAACCGAAAGGTTGCGAGGGCCGCTGTGGGGCCTGCTGTCACCTATGTCCTTGGCATGTTGGGAGCTGCCCCCCACATCGTGAAGCGCATGATGAGACAAGCCAAATTCGGATGGGACTCTTTACCTGGTGGCGCTTCTCATTGGATTGCCTCGCGGCTTGCCCCGTCACCTGACATGCAACCTTCGTGCGTTTCAGTCGTTTGCCCTATTCACAACTTGGCTGCGTTGACGGCATCTCGCGATGCTCGTCATCAGGGCACGCATGTTGCTTGGCAATCGCAGTCCCGCAGGGCTGCCATGGGAAAGGAGCAGGATCGTTGGCGTTTGGTCGCTGGCCCAGTCGGCGCTTTCTCGAGATCACTGCTGCCCCTGGAGTGGACATGTTCTTCAGCGCTTCTTTCTCGGACCAAGTCTGGCGAGAAGCTTGATTTGCGCACTGTTGCACCGACCGTTGTTCGGTGGCTTGCGGATCAGGGTTTGAAGCGGTTGGCTGGTTGCAATGGTCTAAGCGTGCGGATGTCATTCCTGAGGCCCCTGGCCCCAGTCACATGGACCCTGCTGGATGCTGGATCGCTTCTGTTCGTGGTCTCCTTCATGCGGGGCAACAGGCGCAGAGATGGCTCCTCGATGCCGTTGCTAAGACTGCTATTCGTGCCGCGGCTTTGGGATTTCACTTCTCGTAGCAACGGCTATATCAGTACGCTTACGCGGCCTCCCCCTATTGCCTCGTGTGTGGTATTGAGATCAGGACTTTGCATCGTCGGCATTGGCACTGCCCTTGTCTTCGCGAGTTTCGTGAACACGCAGTGGACTCTGAAGTCTTGGAGCTTGCGCGCGGGACGGCTCCTGGTGACTTATTGTTTTCTCGAGGCTTGTTTCCAAGTTATGGTCTTCCTGCGCTCCTGCCAAGGGGTGATTCTGGACACTGGCACTACGACAGGACCGCTCGCTCCGAGCCTTTGGTGACCGGTGACGTCTTTACAGATGGGTCCTGCAAGAAGTTGCTACACTGGGATGCCGCGTCTCGTGCAGGCTGGGGCTTTGTGGTCGTGGGCGATCGCACCTACTCTGGCGCAGTCTTTGGCGCCCTTCCTGGGCCGCGTCAGACCTCAGGCCGAGTCAAGCTTCACGCGACTACTTACCTCTCATCGAAGGCTTCCGTCGAGGCCAGCGGTGGTGCGCGAACCCTTGGAGGGAGAACGAGGACCTCTGGAAGTCGCTGTACCATCGTATTGCAGATTGTGGAGGCGCGAGCTGGGCTGGCGAGACGGCACCAATTATGTTCAGGTGCGTGGAGGGCCACCAGAATACCGACTGCTGGGATAAGCGCTGCAATGATCTCGCCGATCAGGCAGCGAAGCGAGGACGACGGCCACACGACGTTCCACAGGCCGTCGTGGGCAGGCATTCGTTGGCCTTCTTGAAGACCAGGCAGGGGCGACGTGGATTGGCACTGCCTCGAGGCCTCCGTGCGCGGGGTTGGCGCCGCCCGATCGAGTCGACCCTCCTCGGCGTCGCAGCGCGGAGCTGTGCCGCAGCTGGGCCGCTCACGGCGCTGCTCCTCGCGCGCCTGCAGCCTGTTGCGCGGCCCGCGCCCGCGGCGGGCCTGCTGCGCGGGAGGCGGCGGCGCCCCCGCCGCCGAGGGGGGGGCCCGTGGTGCACCCCCACAGGGTGCGGAGACGTGGACAACAGTTCGCCTGTGAGCGCTGCCAGGCTTTCGCCTTGTCCGCCCGAGGTGCGAGGGCCCTCAGGCTCCGCGCGCGTAGAGCAGCCGAGGAGGCGGCCCTCTGGGGCCAAGAGGGTTTTTCGCCCCAGACGAATGAACGCCCCCTTGAGGCCCCTCCTCTCGAGGCCGATGATGTATTGGAGGGTTCGGGGGGTCCGCCGCCATCGGATCATGGGGCCCTTGGGCGGCAGCTGGCTTTCTAGGGGGTTGGGTTTCAGACGGATGAGGACAGGATGGGTGATCAGTTGGAGGAGGGCTGCAGGCAGGCCAAGCAGGCGCGCTCGGAGTCGTCGGACCCCCCCCCCCACCCTTCCTCCCCCACCCGCCGCCCCTGGAGCCAGTCTGGAGAAGGACAGTCGCGATGGGGTGGCCCTGGAGGGCCCGCGCCCGAAGGCGCCGCGTTTGGACCCGGGCCCCCAGGTTTCGGCTGGTGAGCCTCCTGCCCCCAGTCGGGTGGGGGGGCCTTCCGCCCCTCAAGCGCCCCAGGACCGCTGGCGAGCCTGCGGAGCCCGACTCCTGGGTTGCTCGGGGCGCCTCGCCCCCTGACCGTCCCCTCCCCGCTCAAGGCCCCGCAGGGCTTTCCAGTGCTCGAGGGCACTGTGTCGTCCTTGCTGGGGCTACCCTTGCATTCTGTCGGCGGTGCGGCGCTCGGGCCCAGCCGTCGGCCCCGCGCTCGCGGCTCTGGGGCCGCTGCTCGAGCGGGGCAGAGATCTTCTTTCTGGGGAGTGGAAGGGACATCCCCGTCCACCCCTCGCCTCGGATGACGCCACTTTCCCGCTTCGTCTTCGGCGACCCGCTTGCGTTTCATCCTGTCTCTCGTCCAGCTGCGTTCGCTCTTCTTTACGCCTCGTCTTTGCCGTGCCTTGTCCTGTCTCGGCGCGCTCGGATCTCTTCGGGTTGGCTTCCTCCACCTCCACCTCGTCCTTCTCCACCCACCCCATCCTCCTTCCCCTCCTTCTTCTCCTCCTCCTCCTCCCCCCCTCCTCCTCCTCCTCTTCCTCCTCCTCCTCTTCCTCCTCCTCTTCCTTCCCCTCCTCCTCCTCCTCTTTTCAACCTCCCCCTCCTCCTCCTTCTCCTCCTCCTCCTCCTCCTCCTCTCCTCCTTCCTCCTCCTCCTCCTCCTCCTCCTCCTCCTCCTCCTCTTCCTTTCCTCCTCCTCCCCCTTCTCTTCTCCCCTCCTCCTCCCTCCTTCTCCTCCTCCTCCTCCTCCTCCTCCTCATCCCCCCCCTCCTCTTCCTCCAACCTCCCCTCCTCCTGTTCTCCTCCTTCTCCTCCTCCTCCTCCATCGCCTCCTCCCTCCTCTCTCCTCGTCAGTTCCTCCCACTTCTCCTCCTCCTTTTCCTTCCCCTCTCTTCTTCCTCCTCCTCCCTCCTCCTCCTCCTCCTCCTCCTCCTCCTCCTCCTCTCCTCCTCTTCCTCTCTTCTCCTCCTCCTCCTCCTCCTCCTCCTCCTCCTCTCTCCTCTCCTCCTCCTCCCTCCTCCTCCTCTCTCCCCGTCCGTCGTTCACCACGTCCTCATCCCTCTCCTCCCACCCTCCTCCTCCTCCTTCCTCCTCCTCCTCCTCCTCCTCCTCCTCCTCCGCCTCCTCCTCCTCCTCCTCCTCCTCCTCCTCCTCCTCCTCCTCCTCCTCCTCCTCCTCCTCCTCCTCCTCCCCCTCTTCTTTCACCTCCTCCTCCTCGTTTTTCCTCATCTTCTCCTTCTTCCTCCTTCCTCCCTTCTCTCCTCCTCCTCCTCCACTCCTCCTCCTCCTCCTCCTCCTCCTCCTCCTCCTCCTCCTCCTCCTCCTCCTCCTCCTCCTCCCTCCTCCTCACTCCTCCTCCCCTTCTCGCTCCTCCTCCTACCTCCTCCTCCTTCCTCCTCCTCCTCCTCTCCTCCTCCGCCTCCTCCTCCTCCTCCTCCTCCTCCTCCTCCTCTTCCTCGTCCGTCCGTATTGATTTTGTGCCCGAGGGCCTCGCTGCCCGCTGCCCCCCCCCCCCCCCGCGGCGCGCGCGACCCCCTGGGCGCCATATGGCGCTGCCGCCGGGGCAGCCGGCGCCCTTGCTGCAGCGGAGCCGCGCGAGCGTGGTGCCGCCGCTCCCGCTCCCGCTGCGCGGGCTGCGGGCGGCGCTGCCTGCCTTCCACGAGGATTCAGTCGGGCACGTCACCCTGCAGGGGAATGCCCGCAAAGGGTAAGAAAAGAATCTGGGGACGAATGTTTGACACTATTTGACCTCTTGAGCATGCTTTGCCCACTCTTGATTGTCCCGCCAGAACCCTTCCTGCAGGAGGGCGTGCCCGACCTAACGCGAGGACCCCTCGGCGGAACCCTTCGCGGAGACCGCCGCCTTCCCCCACTTCGGCCGCCGGCCGCCACTGCTCCTCGGCGCCGCCGATGCTGCGGCGCGGGCGCCGCCCGCGCCAGGCGGCCCTGGCGGCGGCGCCGCCGAGCCCGTCGCGGGGGCCGCCGAGCCCAGCGCAGCGGCGGCCGCCCCCCTGCGGGTGGGAGTCGTTTGCAGCGGTGTCCGGCGGTTCAAAAGCAAGGGCGCCCTCGAGGGCGCGAAGTTACTCGCGCTTCGCGGTTCGGCTCTGATTCCTCATCCTCCTCGTCTCCCCTGGGAGGCGACGCGAGAGCGCGAAGTTATTCGCACTTCGCGCTTCGCGCAGGGCGAAGCGCGAAGTTGGGAGCCCTTGAAAAGTCAGAGGATCGGGGGTGGACAGAACCTCCACCCTGACACGTCGATCAGTGAATTGTTGGTTTCCGGTTCTCGAGAGTGCGCCGCGGCCTTCGTTTTCCAGACTTGCGCCCGCCAGGTTTTGGATCCGAGGTCGTTTTCACTTAACCACGCTTTACTGAATGGGGGTCCTGTCCATCCCCGAGAGGATGAAGAGGTGCTCATACCGCAGTACCCTTCGGCCGTTTGCCCCGTCTTGGGCCTCCTGGGCGGCCCTCGTCCCAACCGCTCTATTCGCCCCGAGATCCTGGTCTGAACGCACCCTGGGAGAGGTCCAGGGAGCATCTGTATCGGAACCTTTTCGTTCCCCCATCCAAAGGATGGGGTCCTCAGGGGTGGGGTCCTGAGGACGAGGTGCCTCAAGCAGTGCAGATCAACCCTGGGATCCCTTCCTTCGAAGAAGAGAACGGCAGAAACACAAACTTGTGGCGCTCCGCGCAGATGTCTTGGAGCAGCGGCGTTCCTCCCCTGGGCGACGCCTCGGGCGCCGACCCTGGCGCGCGGAGCGCGCCAGGGCGAGGGATCCAGGGGAGGTCCAAGAAATCCGCGCGGAGCGCCAAAAGTTTATGTTTACGCACATGTTCCCCCTTCTGCTTCGGGATGGGTTCCTGTGGACGAGGTGCCTTAAGCAGTACAGATCTGCCCCTGGGTTCCTTCCTGTCCTCAGGATCCTCTCCGCTCCTCGGGACCCTGTCTTTTGAACCGCCGAGGTGTCAAGTCCAGCCTGCCCCCCCACCCGGTGAACGTCGTCTCGGGGCTGATGGCCTACCTCTCGGCGGCGGCCCCCGGCTCGCGCGTGCTGGGCTTCCGAAGCGGCCCCAAGGGCTTCTTGGCCGGGCGGTGCCGGGAGCTCTCCTCAGAGGACCGGCGCAATCGAAACTGATAGTTACGAACATCGTGGAAACGCAGGGTTCGAGTACGCCAGACCTCGGGTTTGCCGACGCTTCATGACGAGCGCGTCCTGTGGAGGTTGACGGTCCCGTTTTCGTGGGGTGTCCGCAGCGGGAGGTCGCGTCAGATTTCAGGTTGGGTCTTGTCATGTTCAGGGTGGCCCCGTCTGGCCGACCAGAGTCCCCCGAACCCGAGTCTTACGTCTTCCCGAGAAAAGAATTGGGGCAAGGCGTCCTGGCTTGCGATCGACATAGGTACGAAACTCATCGGGGCAAATCAAGCAGTGGCGAGGCGTCCTGGCTTGCCTATAGGCGCACCAGATATTGTTCTAAGAACATCGTGTGGTTCGCACGCAACGTTTTTAGAATATGTCTGACTGGTTTTTTTGTTTTAGCACATCGACGCTACGTTCTAAGAACACTGTGTTCTGTTATTGTGACATGTCTGGGTTCCTGGAACCTGTCGTTGTAGGCATATAGGAATGCTAGGACGGCTGGTCCCGGCTCAAGCAAAGACAGCAGTTCCTGCCCATCTTCAGCAGGAATCGCGTTCTGTGTCGCCGCACACGGTCTCCTCTCGAGACAAAGTTGCCTGCCCAACAGCGGCCGCTGTCGGTTTAGGAAGGCATTCTCCGCTGGACATCGTAATCATGTTTTTTCGTACACCTGTGGGGCGTGCCAAGAGGAGGTGGACCTGTACCTCAACCAGTGCGGTGTTGAGCTCCTTGGCTACGGGAGCTCCGCGGAGGCCGAGGCGGAGGTCGGCACGGAGGCTGGCATCGCCAGGGCGGCGGAGGCCTTCAGGGGCAGCGACGGGGGGGATGACCCAAGGGGGGAAGCGTCGATCCCCAAGTTGCCCACTCATCGCCCTTCGGGACACGGGTGCCCGATCCCCGCCCGGGAGCGCTCGGTTTCGCGATCGCAGGCCTGTCGCCCATCACTCTGCGATGCAGCGCCGATTCCAAGAGCAGCGTTCCCCCGCAGGTCTGCGCCGAGCACCGGCTGGACGGCCTCGTCGTGATCGCCGGGCCGAAGAACCTGCGCTGGGTGGCGGAGCTGGCCGCGGGGTTCCTGGAGAGGGGCTGCGGCACCACGGTCGTGGGCGTGCCGTACAGCAAGAATCTGAACCTCTACGTCCCGAAGTACCTGGCCATCACGCTGGGCTTCGACAGCGGGCGGCGGATGCTCTCCGAGGTCGTGGGGTCCATCGCCGTGGACTCGATGAGCTCCAAGAAGTATCGAAGACGCCTACGGCGAATCACCGCCGCCCCCCTGCCTTGGTGGAAGCGCCCATGTGGCCGAACGTTGGGGCCAGACCTGCCAAGCTATCGGACCATGTGTTCCCCGATTCGGTTTGGAGAGCCTCCGGGGAGCACGTGGGCATCTTGAAGGTCCTCTTGGCCGTCTGGAGGCCATTTTGACCCTTTAGGGTTTTTTTTCTGGCTTGACTTAGGGCGGATTTAGGTTGAGTCGGTTGAGTGTTTTTGTATTTTGATGCCGACGACGATTGTAATGATGGTGGTTATCAAATCGTAGTGCTGATGGTGGTGGCGATGGTGATGGTGATGATGGTGGTGCTCATCACATCCAGAATCACCATCATCACCATCACCATCATCACCATCACAACCGCCCTCACTATACCATCATCACCATCATCATCATCACCATCCATACCATCAGCATCGCCATCACCATCACCATCGTCACCATTGTGGTCCGTAGGACTTGGCTCAAAATAATGTCGTCGTCCGCTGGGGCGGTTTCCCCGAGCCCTCCAGCCTCGTCCTCTCCTTTGATTTCCCCGAGCCCTGCGGCCTCGTCCTCTCCTTTGATTTCCCCGAACCATGCTTCCCCGAACCCTGCTTCTTCTTCGAGCCGTGCGGCCTCGTCGAGAGCGGCCCCGTCGAGCCGCGCGGCCTCGGCGGCCTCGTCGAGGGCAGCTTCGCCAAGCCGTGGCAGCTGCAACAGCTCGAACGCCGATGCTGACGTAGGGTCCGACGCCGACGGCGCCGACGGAGTTGCCGACGCAGCGGGCTCCGAAGAGGACAGCGGCTCCAACAGCGGCTCCGACAGCGGTTCCGAAGAGGACAGCGGCTCCAGCAGCGAGGCAGCCGCGGCTGCAAGAGCGAAGGCGAAGGCCGCCCCGAGCAAAGTAGTCGAGAAGTTCCCGCCTTCGTTGTCCATGACCCTGGAGGAGCACGTCGCCAGCCACGACTACCCAAAGCACGTTTCCACCTGCGGCGCTTGCAAATTTTGGAAGAACAAGGAGAAGTGGAGCGCCTCGATGTCTGCGACGAATCCAGTAACGCTGAAGAGTGAAACTTGGATAGGCTGCGTAGGTGGTAGATTTGCAGTCTGCTTGTTCTGCTCGGCGTTCAAGGGCGCTCGCTGCTATTCCACCATAGGCCAGGGATCCGCGAGTTTCCAACGCAAGGAAAACCTCGCGCGCCATGCACAGTGCGAGGAGCACCAGGCAGCAGAAGCGGCGTGGAAAGAGCGGATTCGAGCGGAAGGTGCGCACCAGGGTCTCCCCGTGTCTGTGTCCCCCACAACGGCTGCATCAGCTGCAGCAGCTGCGACAGCCGTAGCGTCTGCGCCCGCCGTCGTCCGCAACGCCGACCAGCGCCCTGGTTGCCGCGCAGCGGTCGCCACCCGTGCAATGTTGGAGACAACCAGTTCCTTCAGTAGTTTCGACGTGTGGCGGGATGCGTTCGTTGGGGGCGACCGCCAAGTTTTGGAGTCTAGTTGGCAGTGCCGAAGGCTGGTGACCACCATGGCTCAGCAGGAGAAGATCATCACGCAGAGGATCCTCAAGCATGGTGCTGTTTTTCGTTTGGCTGCGGACGGCCTCGACCGCACGTACCAGGTCGAAATTTGCACCGTGCCGTGGTCGATCCCGAAGGCTTTGGACTTCCTCCCAAGCGACGGTCTCAAGGCAGGCTGGCTGGAACAGCTGGGCCCCAGAGGGCCCTGGATCGTGGATCGGGTGATCGGGATGCGGGAGTTCCCGCGGGGCATGGACTGCGACGGCAAGGCTCCCATGCTGGAGGAGTGCGTCCGTCGCGCGCGCCAGACGGCAGGCGGGGGGCTGGGCGGGGACTTGCACAAGCATGTGCGACAGGAGACTCGGGCATGGTGCAGCGATGGGGCGGATCTAAGTGTACCCCTGGCTGCAACAGCCACGTTCCCTGGGCCGGCGTTTCACGCGCGGGACGAGTCTCACTCGTCCCAGGAAGTTCTGGCCATTCGATGAAAGGAGACAGCGAAATAACGACCACGGACGAGCTGCTTGTAACGGGGCCAAGTTTGGCCGAGTTCCTGACTACCTCCACCGTGTTCCGCATTGCGCTCGGGGAGCAGCAGCTGGTGGAAGACGGCGTCGCGTTCGTCAAGAACTTCGGCTGGGCCCCCCAGCGTTTCAACAGTCGGGCGAGGCCCTTAGCACGGGGCAGTCGGCGTTGGGAAGTCATTTTCGAGGCGCTCGGAGTGGGGTCCCAGGGGAATGACGAAGATCGGCGCATTCTCGCCCGACAGATTCTGGGAGGGCTCGGGGGCGAGAACAGTTCGCGCCTGCTCCTGGGGGGGTTGCTGGCCGACTTGAGCGCGGAGCATTACTCCTGGGTCGCCACCGGAGACAAGAGCAACCCCGACGCTGCCAGCGTTCAATCCAGGGCCGCCGTTTTCCCCTCCAAGCTGGATACATTGTTCGTCCAGGGGATTATTCTGGCCATCCCCAACGCGTTTACTGGCGTCACCCTCAAGTTTCTGAAGGCCACGAAGCGGTTCGCGTGCGGCACTGGCGCCCAGACCGATGGTATCGGCGATTGGAGCACGGGGCCCCGAGCCCGCGAAGCCGCCCGCGCGGCTCTTCGACGAGCGCAGGGGATCGTGGCCAATGCGAAGGAGAACGTGGAGCTATATCGGCCAGAGCATTCTTGGTTGCGCGCCTTTACAGCCTTTCGCTTGCCACCCCCCCTGTCCCTGTCTGCAACAGCAGAGCACGCAACAGAAGCCGAGGCCTGTTTGAAGCGCACCTGCCAGGCGGCAGATTTCCCCGAGCAGAAGGCAATCTCCCAGCTGCGGCAAATGTTGCCCCGCGCCGAGGTGCAGCATCGAGACGGGGGCACCGCGCGGCAGGCTTGGGGCCGCGCTGCGGTGGAGTGGCCCGAGCTCCCCAGCGGCCGTCGCCTCGTGGAGCTTTTCCTTGTTTGGAAAACGAGCACGGGCAACGTGGAGGGGCGATTCCGCCGTTTCTCAGAGGTGCATTGCCCCGAGAGGGCGCGGCTCCTCGACGTGTCCGTCGAGGAGTGCACGCTCGTGGACCAGGCGCCCTCCAGCAGGTTGCTGCGCGCGTGGCTGGACGACAACGACGAGGGCTCTGCCGCCAGTCGTTGGTACAGGCATGTGCTCGAGCTACATGAGGTCGCGCAGGGGAAGATCGTGCCGCTGAGGAGGGCCGAGAGGCGCGACAAGGGAAGCACGCGGGAGCCTGGGGCAGCACGTCGGACAGAGGTAGGCTTCGGGCGCAGGCGAGCAGCTGCCATCGACGCCATGGCGGCCGCTTCCCCGAGCAAGCGCGCCCGCCTTCTCGCGGAGGGCGCCCCCGATCTCGCTGCGCTGGCTCAGGAGGCGGCCCAGGCGAGCGGCGCAGATCCAGTCGGGCCCGCTGCAAAAATCGTCGCCGCCGTCGCCAAGCGGGAGGCCGAGATCCGAGAGCGCAATCTTGGAGGGGCGAAGGCCGCCGCCATGGCCAGGAGTACCCGAGAGAAGAAAGTCCTGCGCAGTGCCAGGCCAGCTGCGGGCCGTGACGCTTACTTGCTGCCCCCCCCCGCGCCCCGCTGGGCTCATGCTGGCTCGCATGGTAGATGTGGGCGCTCGCAACAAGGCGCAGCGCTTGCGTTTCAAGGTGTTTCAGGACCCCGTGGACTTCCTGGACTATCTTGCCCGTCATACGGCCCAGGGGAAGAAGGGAAACGTAGTCTTGGCGCCAACAGCTGACACCGACTATTGCATCGCCGCCCACATTGTAGCAGCGTTCACGGGAGCTTCTTTTTTTCACAACGCCGACTGACTTTGCACGGGAGGATTCTCCAAAAGGCATCCAGTACACGGAGAAGCTTCGGAACTCGAGCAAGTGCTACCACGTGACTGTAACAGAGGCTCTCGCGAAAGACCTGCCTACACTGCCCCACGTTTTGCGAGCGCTTGCCCAGACGCCGAGTGGGTGTGCGATCTATTACAAGAGCCCCAGGGAGCTCTGCAAGTTCTTCAAGAGGCAGGCATCCCCGCCTGGCGCAGCGAACTTGCGTGCTGTGCCGCTCGGGAGAAGAAGCGGGCGTCGACAGAGCCGTCAAACAGCTCTACAACAGCCCGAGGAACTGGGTTCTGCGTTTCGACGCGACGGTTGAAGCACGGTGCCCGGGCACCAAGGCTGTGACAGCGTGAGTAAGTAGCGCGTCCCATAGATTGCGATCGCGCCAGCTTCGTTGAAAAAGAGCGCCGCCCAACGTCGTCCGACCTTACCTCCCCTGCGCCCCTTCGTGGGCGCCGCTGCCGCGGGCGGCGCTGCCCGCCGCTGGGGACCTGAAGGTCGCCGATGGGGGGGGGGGGCTGCTGTTGCCCGCGGCGGCGGTTGTCGGCGGCGAGGGTGGGGGGGTGGGGGTGGGAAGCATCGGGCGCCCAGGGCCGCCCTCAGGAGGAGGGGGGTGAGGGGGGTGATGGGGCTGAAGGAGGAGGGGAGAGCAGGGCGAGGCAGGAGTAGCGACGAGGCCGTCTTCCACCGCACATGCCCAGCCCAGCCCCCAGCCCAGCCCCCAGCCCCCAGCCCAGCCCCCGGCCCCCAGTCCAGCCCAGCCCCCAGTCCCCCCAGTTCAACCTTCCCATCCCCGTCGAAACCTCTGCAGTGATCTCATCCGAAAACTTTGGGGATCTCTCTCTCCCTCTCTCTGTCTCCCTCGTAACCGTAGCTGTCGGCTCGACTCCCTACTCTGCCCGCGCGCCGCGCGCGCGCTGGCAATGGGCAAGGGCGCCGAGGGCAAGGGCAACGACGCGCGCAAGGGCAAAGGCAACTGGCGCCAGGTCAGACCAGCCAAATCTGGGCTAGCTGTAGTACCCCCCCCTGTCTGATAAGAGCTCCCATGGAGCTCTAACATGCCATGTTAGAGCTCCCATGGGGCTCTAACGTGTCCGGTTAGAGGATGTTAGAGCTACATTGGAGCTCTAACATGCTATGTTATAGCTCAC